ATAGGATAATTTGGTCACAAAATCGATAAAAAAGACTTTTTACAATCGTTAAAATATTTTTTACAAGAATATTGGGCCGTTTGTCCTATATAATCTCGTTATTTTAAAAATTAGAGGGTGTAGGTTACGCCAAACGGCTCAATATTATTGAAGGCTATCTTTTTTCCCGATTTTGTGATCAAAATATCTGGCGATCCAAGTAGAAAGCAAATGGGTATTTACGAGTTTTTAGTACCTAATGAAATAGGGAAAGTTTGCCCTCGTCTGGATTGAAAACGCACCAACTCTAAGAGTTTTCGTAAATACAATAGTTGTAGATTACGATGAGATCAAACTATTTACGAAGTTTCTGGCGGAGATTAATAATTCGATAAAAAGGTATCTGTACCATGTACTATATGGTCCTTCTAAATCATAGGTGTTCTGAATAAGATTTCTTTTCGAAGTTACGGTTCTCTACATCTTGTCTAACATGGATTGAAACTAAGTAATCCTCCTTTGTTAGTAATTCACTGAAGCTTGTGGATTATTATTGAAAGTAGCTTATGGAGTTATAGCCTTATTTAAACAATAATTCCTCCAAATGATTTAATTTCAAAACATAACTCCTCAATTTTGTGAATATTACAAAAATCATATAAACCATTTGTCCAAAATAGACATTTAAAATAAATATTCCATGCATAGATAATGAGAAATGCTTTATAAATACATCTACTTTTGTTTACAAAGTATTCATACGACTTACTTTATATCCACCCGGCTCTTGTAGGATGGAACCAGTTAGGAATTAAAATTGTCGAACTTATAACAGGATAAATGGTAAGCACTAAACTGCTATGATGGCCTATTAAATGCAAGACCATTCTTCATAACTGGAGCACGTACGCAGGTGTTGAGTTCGACCGTGACAGACCTCTGGTGGCTCTGCTCAACGAGCCATGCTCCATAATACTATCTCCACTGGTTTTCCCCGTCGTAGTTTATCAACACCTCAGCAAGTCTATTAGCAAATTATGGGCAACCAGATCTTCCGATATTTATTTCGATGTACTTTTGTAGCGTCTTTCGGAAAAGCAATGAAATGAAATTTTATAAACCATTTATGATTCTTCCTTTTTTTTTTTTTTTTTTCTGATTATCCCTTATCTAGCCATATTTGACATACTGAGAGGAGACAGGGGTTGCTCTAGAAGTAAAAAAGAAACTATTCTAGCCAGAGTGTCGAGATTCATTCACTTAGTTCGCTACGAATTTCAAACCCACAGGCCAGATTCAAAGTCATTAGACTCAAGAAAGCAAAAGTTTGCGCTTTAACATGCTTGACTATCACGACCTCAATGATTTTTCCTACCGCTAGGTAAGGGGAGTATTGAAATTGGCTTGAATTTTCGATGAATGGTTTTTAAAGCATCTTCACGTTCTAGATCCTTCTGAACCCAAATAACGCCTTTTCAGCTATTGGTTTTCCTGCATAAGTGTGTATATCTGTATCATGATTACCTCCCAAACAGTTAGAACTTCGTTGTTTCTTTTATAGTTTTATAACAATATAAGGCTTCGGCTCCCAAAGCCGGTGAAATAAATGTGTACAATATTATAAAAATTGTTTTTCTATAGATATTAGCGTCAAAGGAACGAACAGGCCTAGCTGGCAACGTGTACAAAATACTCGTTGCTCGGAAAATTGATTACCCTAATATTACAGTTCAAATCCAGACTGTGGAGGACTTTTAACTCGAACACAATTCCCCCGACTTTTCTCCTGACCCGGAAAAGAAACTCATATCGCCTAAAAAGCTTTATAAAAAAAATAAATAAAAAAAATACGTGTTCGATTTGATCGCTGGGAAAGTCATGTGATTCTACAGCAGATATTTTAATAATTTAATATGAAAAATCTATCGAATGATGCATTATAATCACAGTATGACAAATAGTAATCGTAGAGTTAACGAATAGTACGCAGTGAGGATTTTATAAGTAGCACTTTTATTTATAATATCTGTTACAAATGGCATCTTAACATCTGAACTATACTATACTATGGGTTGACTACAAGAGTTTTTTTTTTCCCTTCCCCATAGGAATTTATTTATAATACAAAATATAATATATAAATACATAAAGAAATATATATACAAAAATTTCTAATTTCCTTTTATTTCCCAAGAGCATTTTAATGTAGAAGGGCTATGCACGCTGTATGCGTATTGATGGCCAGAGGCCTTTTATTTTACCACTGAGCGTGAAGGGACCGCCCTGACTATAAGAGTTCACTCTAGGTCTCCTACAAGAGTATAGCAGCAATATCATGATCACCTGGTAAGTGTGTTATTTCACGAATGTAACTGCAAGAGTGTTTTTTTCTAGAGGATCATAGGGTAAATATACCCAGGAATAGTAGAGAGAATGAGGGAATTCGGAAGAGACTTCAAAGGAAGTTATCAATAATTGATATTCTTAATATGAGGTCTTTAAGAAAGGGCTAGAGTTATTAACTATTGAGAAGTGGTATTCTTATCTTTTAGTATTGATATCAAGTTCATGACAAAGGAACCTTTTGCTATTATTGTTTCTCTAAGTCTTGATAATGTGTTCAGTCAGTGCCTTTTAGATAATTGCTTCTAACCTATCAGAGATTTGAGTCTAAGAACCTCAAGAGGTTACTGTAATTGTCAAATTGGCACAGTTAATAAATTCAATTATTTAAATAAGGTTTAAATTAATATTATTATTATTATTATTTGTTAAGGGTTAAGTCCATTTCGTAACTGTAGTAGCAAGTTAAAGTAACGAAATTGCGAATAATTTAATGACTAACTAACATACGAATGTGTTTGGAATACCTTGTGAAGTCATCTGGCTAGAACTGAAGCGCCTTCCCGTTTGGTTACAGGTCAAGGAAGGATGACTTGATAGTTATTAAGGAGGCATGGAGAGCATCTACTTATCCAAGTTGGAAGGTAACATCCGTCGATTCACGTCCGCTAAATCAAGGGCATACCTCGATCAATTTTTTTTGTTTTTGCTTTTTTTATGTTTAGAAGTCGCGGTTGAGGGGATTCACGGTAGTGGGGTGGACCAATTCTGTCGTTAAACTTTATTCATGCATGACATCTAATATTTTTATTGGCCCCTTTGTTTTTTTCTCATAAATTACTGATGATATTCAGCTCATCAGATGCAGCTAGTCATGTACTCATCATGTATATCAGACAGGCATGTACAATCCAAATTTACCACGGATTGAGACCGCTGCTAGTATAATAACAAAGTAGGTCAAAATGGGGGAGGTATCCAAAGCCAAGAAAGGTGTGTTGGAGTTTTTGTTTCTAAAGTATGGCACTCCAAGGCTAAATCCTTGTAAGGTCCGTAAATCTTATAAAATATTTGTAGCTCTTACTCTATTTATTTATTATATTATATTATTATATTATGATTATTTATTTCAATACCGGTGAAATCCGCTAAATTGTTAAATCAGGCAATTAAAGCGTAGAGCTGAAGATAACAATAAGATCGTGAATTAAGGAGTATTTGTAACAAACGAGTATATTAAAATATTTTTTTAATACGAAACCCGAATTGCAAAATCAATCTACACTAAATTTACCAAGGTAGTATAGTAGTCCATAGTACAGACACCTTTTTATCGAATTATTAACATACGCCTCACGGGCGGATTACGAGGAGGAGGCTTTCGGGCCACGGGCGGATCTACGGGGGGGGGGGGAGAGGGTTTCGGGCTGAAGCCCCCCCCAAAATCGTAAAATATAACCATGTTTTATGGGAAAAAAAATGCCTCTTAAAGTATTATTGTTCGTGTAATAACATTTAAAAGTACTTAAGGAATAACTTAAACACCATTTCATATAGGTAGTTAGTTTCTTTCTTATTTTCTAAAGTAATTATCGTTATTTTTATGAAAAAAAAAGGTTTCGGGCTGAAGCCCCCCCCCCAAAATTAAATCCTGGATCCGCTAGTGTTTCGGGCTGAAGCCCCTTCCTCCCAAAATGCCAAAATATAACCATGTTTTATCGAAAAAAATATTTAAAAAGTATCTCTTAAAGTATTATTGTTCGTGTAATTACATTTTAAAGGGCTTTAGGAATCATTTAAACACCATTTCATACAGGTAGCTTTTCAAAGCTTCTTTCTTTTTTTCCCAAGTAATTATCGTCCAAATTCAGAAAAAAATTAATGTCTGGATCCGCTAGTGTCGTAGAGTAATAAACATCTATTGAAAAGGTAAATGAAGGCGAATAGCTCTTGAACAGTTTGGATAGTTGAAATAACTTTCGAATATTTTTATCTACGTATGACTTCTTATATTCTTAGATTTATACCTACAGACTAACTGAACATCGTTATGTAATGTGAGAGTTTTCATAGAAGTATGCTAGCATATTTATTGTCACTAACCACACTGCCTACAATTTAAATACTCCAATCCCGTCCCACTAGATCCTGTACTTCCGACCTCTATCCTCCTCCTCACCTAACTTCTGCGTTTGACAAATCCTTTGTAATCCCAGCTGTCTCTCTCACGAATTCTATCCCTCCTGATGTTAGACATGTACAATTATTAGTCTTGAAGTACTCCTAGAGACTATTCCGGTTTACTTATGATATTCTAGTTTTATCTGTATTTTTATTTTAAATAAACTATTATTATATAAGTATTTAATTTATGTATGGTCACACTGGTATTTACCGGATACTTATAATTTGTTCTAAAGGAACAACAGTCCCTGAATAATAAGAAAATATTTGCATTTCATTTCATTAAGCTGCCGATGTGATAATAGTTACATTAAATAATCATAATAGCAGAACATTAAAAAAGACAGTTCTTCGTGATGGTATTAATTTTATGTGTGTAAGTGTGCCATCCTAGGGTGATGGACGCAGATCCTCGACAAGGATTACCCTAAGGCCGATGAGGCGGAACTTGGAGGATAACCTCCTATACATCACAGCTCGCGGAGTGCTGCCTAATGGCGGTTCCGTGGTCGCTCTTGTTTCCTGATGAGTTCATCGGGACAGTTCTCAGTCCTGACCATGACCGGTTCCTGCGAGTCACTGCCTCTCCAACAAGTGTGTCGAACTATACGGGTCAATGCCGTCTCCAATAATCTTAATTTTAGTACATCTTATATTAGCCCATAATTAAAGATCTTCCTTTCACATTTAGTTAATCACTGTTCGTCATCAGCTCGTCATTTTATCCCTGTGATATAATATTAAAGTCCTAAATTATATATATACAGAGAAGGCCGATCTTTTTTTTTCATTATAAGATAAGAAGTTTTTATAAAGGCCAAAATATGCCGACTTAACCATTTATTCTTTTCATTAATAGCGATTTTTTGTCCAAAAGATAATGGAGATGGATAACATACTATCACAGCTGTCTAAAGATGGGGTAGAAATCTAAAAACCAAGCTGTTGCAGCTAATCCAGAAAATATGAGAGAAGAAAAGGATAAGAGAGTCATGGAACACAGACTAAATCTGTCATAATCTAAAGAAGGAAAGTAAATTTGTGGTAATTATAATAATAATAAAGTTTACCGAACTCGAAGGTTCGATGCTCATACCATCACTAGTAGGGTGGAGGGGTTCAGCCTAAAAGCTTTTTTTTTCGTGTTTATATATATATATATATATATATATATATATATATATATATATATATATATATATATATATATATATATATATATATAACGATAATTATTTTGAAAAAAAAAGAAGTATACTTATTACTTATATGAAATTGTGTTTAAGTGATTCTCGAAGTCCTATTAAATGTAATTACACGAACAATAATACTTTAAAGATAATTTTTAAAATATTTTTTTCCATAAAACTTGCTTAAATTTTACCATTTTGGGGGCTTCAGCCCGAAAGTCCCTCCCCTCCCCCTGTAGACCCGCCACTGCATACCACCAATCGATGTCTACATTCTTCCATCCATCTCCTGATCAGCCTTAACGCAATCTCCTCAACATCGCATCGGTCTACCCCTCAGACGCTTGCCAGGCTTTGTTTTTTATTTTCCCCTTGTTGGCCTTTTAGGCTATACGGTTTTTTTTCTGGACCAGGGGGTGAGGGCGGGAGATCGATGCCAAGTCAAAAGGTCTCCTTGGCACCGCGACACGAACTCGCAATTATTTATAGTTTACATTTATTTACCATCTCAGCAATGTCAATATGTCCTAATGATCTTGAATTCCTCTTTCTTAGGAACTGTTCACTTTTCATGTAGATTTTCTTCACATTTTCTGTTTTAAATTACCAAGTTTTTGGTGTTTGACTCTTCTTGTTCTTACAACGAAGTCGGAAAGTCGCTTTAAGTAGATAGGAATCAAGTGCAGAAAGAAAAGTACCTTGAAGGCCAGGTTTGTGACTGTTGTGAAATAAATTAAACCCTTCTCTTCCAGGTCGGACTCGATTGCCGATGATGAGTCAACCGGCGAGGAAGAGGCTCAGGTCGAGAGGAAGGCCGCTGACACCCTGCCAGGTGATTGTTGACCATCGGCAGGCCCATCGCCTAGCAGCGCTGTAATTATTTCCTATTTCAGACATTTAATGGTAGTAATAAAATTCGAAATCGTCCCGATTGGATTTATCATGGAAAATTGGAGTTCATAACGATCGTGTGTTATAAAACTTCTATATTTTATTCTTCTTTTATAATATGATATAACGTAGAAATAAATTGTGTAATAACGATAAGTGCCCATAAATTAAAGATTTTTTAGTTTCAGAATTTTTTTTTTAAATTTATTTATATTCCATTTATCTCCACAATGCAATGCTGTAATATGATACATTTATATGCCTGGTTGAATGAGTGACATACTTAATCGTAATGCCTGATCTCTCAGAACGATGCGAGGTACAAGTCAAGACCGACACAGAATACCCGACGGGATGGTTCGTGCAAGGACCACTTGCGGAAATAGAGAAAGCCTTCACTTTCCCTTCCGTCTATGTTTTCGGATTCTGCGCTCGTTGTGTCCACAAGAAGAATTCAAAAGGCTTGAGTTCATGGTGGATACTGTCAGGAGATCACAATGGACTACAGGCGGTGCTGGCGTCTGGATAAATCAGGATAGTCAATAGTTAACAACAGCGAGAAAGACAAAAATGGAGTATCGTTTAAGACCCAACTGAATATTTCACAAATTATAAAATTTAAGTAATATGCAATCAGTTTTCTTTCTTCTTTTCCAGTAAATTCGTTGCTGTTATTTTATTTATTTAAGCCCCTCTAAAATAAAAATAAAAATTTTTTTCAACGGTTCATATTTATTTTCGTTAGTGATCCAAAATGATTACTTATGCTAATCAACATATACTCTATTTTTTATTTATAAATGATATTCAGCTACTAAAATGTTAGTACATGTAAGAAACAATTCACCTCAAAAAGCATTATTGTTGTTTCTACGACTACGGTTGTTGTTTTCTTTATATATAGTCCTTCTAAGAACCCTTAAACATATTTCATTTGGTTATTTTCTTTCAGAATAATTATAATGTTATTTAGTATTTAAAAAAAAAATTATATGTGTTGTGTCCTTGGAAAAAAAATGCTGTCCTTGGAAGCAACCAAGACTCTCTAAGACTTCGATAAGAAAAGCCTAGCAAATCGGACTATAGATAAATGAAGATAAAACGAAATATACGATAGTAAGTCGAGAATCCCACCTCAATAACAGAATCTGCATATAAGAGAAATCATTCTTGAGAGTAAACAAATATGAATACATTGGTTCCACAATAACCTCAATGAATGACCAACGGTCGGAAATAGACCAGCGTAAAACAAGCGCAAATGGAGCTTCAATATTTTCTTATCATTCAAAAGTATTGAAATTCTGAAAAATCTCAAATTAAATCTTACCTGAACAGTAACCAGCATCCTACAAAGAAGTATTGAAAGGTTTAAGAGAAAATCTTCGGCATGACAACTGCAGAAATCTGAGGTCGCTGTTGACAGAAACTGGCCCATCGATATCTCATGAGATAAAGGCAAGGAGGTAAAGATGAGCGGGACATGGAAGCCCCCACACAACAATGAATGCCTCAATAGTGGGCAAAAGACAACGTAAAAGTACAAAAGTCAGATGGATAGATCGAATAAAGAAATATATGGAGTAGAGCTGCAAATAATTGAAAAGAAATAGCCTAAGATATACAAAGATGGAGAAGGATGGTAAAGTCGGGCAAAAGATCTATAAGGTCAGTAATGCAGAAAAAATAAATAATAATAAAAAGTGAAATCCTGGATCCGCTACTACTTAAAACAGCACTGTTTCACCTAAAGTAACTTGTTAAAAATTCACTGTCTTATTCTAGTAATTATGGACATTAATGAAGGACAAAAATCATTCTTTCAAAAGTTTTTCTTCTGTATTCACCCCAGAAAATATTATTACTTTGAACTGGCACTCTTGATATTATAGCAGGTATTTGAAGTTAACAAACACTGAATGCCTATTTCACAAACCATAGCTTTATTACATTCAAACCATTGCTCAATAGCAGCCTATGATATGATATAGTTCATAAAGTAAAGTGTAATTTATATCCATTCGGTAAGAACAACGGAACAACTATTGGTTAGTGGATTGAGGCAGATATTACCATCAAATGGCGTGTGTTAGAAATGAAAGTCTTAACTTTGGTCTCATTGATGTGGTTTAAAATGTTCCCAAAGGAAATAGTGTCAGTTTGGATATCATAAATAAATAAAGAACTGTTGTGTTTTAAGCTTACCCATAGAAAACAAGAAATCATCTGAAACACTAATCAAGATATAGATAAGAACATCATCGAATGCTCATGCATCAAGGTTTGTTTGAATGACTAGTATAGTAAGTGTTATTGCAATATAACAATTGTAGTATTAGTATTCAATAATTAATAAGATTGATTATTATATCCAAACAATTGAAACAAGCAAAACTTCTCCAAAGTGAGTAACTATCACCATAATTATTTAATCTTGATTTAACGACATAATTATGTACCCCGAAGGGGATGGGCACTTTGTCCATTTTTTCTTTTAATAAATAATTTATTAACGAAGAAACAAATTTATAAGCTTAAAGTTATGGATAATTGGCTTTCTGAAGAAACAAAAAAATGTGTAAGGGTATACTTTGCCTCCGGAGTACAGATTTAGTAACTAAGAAACAAATTTTAATATCACTAAGGTTTTTTTTTTTAATCTTCCCCCTCCTCGCTTTTAAGGCTATACGTGGTTTTCCCGGACCAGGGGGTGAGGGCGGGGATTTAAAAGACTTCCCCGTCACCGGGACGCGAACTTGTGACTATTTTTATCCAGTTATCTAATGTATCAGGTTACCGGGCAACGGCGGTGCTGTACACACACGTTAGCCCTTTCGGTCACTCCGCCCCTAATAGCTCAAAGATGTGGAACATTGCCTCACCTGAACAAATACAAGAATGGAGGATATGGCGTTCTTTATCTCCAGGATACAGAATTATTGTCGAAATCATTGCTAAAGCTCATCTAAATTCTTTATTGTAATAATATTGAACTCAATATCAATTTTTCCAAAGTATTAAATATCATAATCAATCATTTGCTTGAATAGGAACATAAATAAGCCAATTTTAATATTTTGCTGAGGTATGTAGCGGTTAAAACAATGCAAACTATTTTATAAGTATTTATATTTCTAATTATTATGATGTATTTCCAAATATTTAAAATAATAGCTTATTGACTGTTATTGACTGTTTCTTCAACCATACCAGTAAATTCAAAATGTCTTCTTTTTCTAGTGAAGCCATAAAAAGGAAGGACATTTGCATAATAAGCTAGTACTGGAGAAAGAGGACGTTCACTTGACTGCCTGAAGCATGAAATCTTACATCTTACACAATCCTAAATGACCTTTTAAGGAGGCTGTAAGGATGGTAAATGCAGTCATTTACAGTTAACTTAACAGTTAAAACTTCAGAGAAGAATCAACCCTGATTAGATTTAGTATTGGTATGTCACCAAAGGTCATTTTCTCCATGAATCATTGACAGTTCTTGTACAGTGAAATGCATTTATCTAATAGCTGTCTATGCAAAATAGAGGAAAGAAACTACTCGATTTATTGTTTTACTAATTTCACTAATCATTTGAAAAATGAAACGAATCAAGTTTTCTTTAACGATTATCCTTATATCAAAAAGTTCACTGATTTTCTCGTCAAAGGTCATTTTAAGTATCGTAATTCATCAGCAATTTGGACAGATGTTCCAGGTCTCTCTTTCTTTTGGGGTCTCCTCTTGAAGAGAGACGCATATACATACAGTCATGTGAATAAATATAAAATCAATTGCTTTTTTTATTTTTGGAATTATGTGGGACCGAACTATTATTTTAACTAGGTTTCATACTATTACGTCGCTACAAAGAAATGAAAGGGATCGCTTTACATATGTAATCTAACAAAATAAGAATAAAAAAAAAACAAGGAAGGCGTGTGCTTTAGACCACACGATAGAAGCGAAAACATCAACAAGGCGAGATTAATATGAAATATAAATTATAAATAATACCTCATTATAAAGAGGATTAAATACTGAATATTCCCTCACTTAAGTATGGAGGTCCGATTTTTAGTTTCTGAGATATTTTAATCCATATCTTCAATAAAATTTGTTATAATTTGGTTATAAACACTATTTTTTTCACTTCGTTTCTCAAACAGGGCGTTACCTTAAGATGCACATACAATTTTGAATAACAGCTCATTACAGAAAGGATGGAATGCTCAACAATTCCCTCACTTACAGTATGCAGGTCTGATTTTTAATTTTTGAGATATTTTAATCCACATGCAAAAACATTTCAACTAGCCGACTCCAGCCGACTTTACCCGAGCGTCAAAAATCGGAGATCTTACGGCTCAACTTAATCACTCTCCAAAAACAAAGTGCAAAACGTGCCTAAAGAAGTTTTAATTTCAAAACATAATTTATGGTGTGAATAAATACCAATTCAAGGTCAATGTTTCCATATATTTAAATGTATATTTATGAAACAGTACCGATTTAGTTTTTTACATAAATTTGATGTTCAAATATATTTATTTATTTTTTTAAATATGCTGCCTGAGTGTGAACTTTCATAAATTAAATTGAGCAACGAAGTATAATCGACTTAAAAAATTACTGGAATAAAATCAAGACAAATCAGTTATGAGTCTAACCATTTCAAGGATCTAGTTAAAATTATTTTGGGTTGTTTAAAAAAATAAAAGAACTATAAGACGAAAGTTATAAGATTAAATTAAAAAAAAAAAAAAATTGTATACAGCTTTCTTTCGGTCAATATTTCTATAGAACGAAAGGCTGGGGAGTTAAAAAAAGAATTTGACAAAAAACGTGAGTTAAGATCAATTTTGCAAATTGAGCAAATTGATTTAAGATGACAAATAACTCGAGAACTATTACAAATGAGAAAACATGGATAGGAATATTCTAAAGAAAATTATATCAACTTTAAATTTAAATAAATAGGATTTTTTTATTTAAGGGCGAACAGTTATCGAGATATAAGTTATAAAAGAACTGTTACAAACCGCCGTTCAGTTGTAAGAACAGGAACTTTTTATAAGTTAACTTCTTAAGTGCCCACAATAAACTTCAACAAGTATACCACAATAAAGTTTAATGGGAAATTCTCGTCTCAATGCTCGGAAAACCTTCGTTGACTGGACTACCTCATCTTCCATCCAAATGTCTTTCTTATTTATGTCGGAGAAGTAAAAATTGAAACCAAGTAGAACCGTTCTCCCTCATTAAAAATAACCTTGAACCAAATTAGGTTTTCCGAAATGTGTTTTTCATCTAACTGTAAGTGGCGTTGTAGATAATGTGTTTTGAGCTGCGATTTTCTTGTTGTTTTATGATATAATAAACAGCTTATTTCATCAATACTCTTCCATACCAAGGTGGCATCACAACCTACCTAGATTGTATCACTTCATTATCTGTGCAGAAGCAGCATAGATTCTAGTTATTTCCGAAGAAGCTGCGAGTATCATAAAAATAGAAAATAGTGAAGGCCTCTAGCTTGTTTTATTTGACGTTGAATTCATTAAGTTTTCAAAAACAACATTCACTAAGCAGTTCGACCCACAAACGGTTCGTCTTTGTTATTTGGTTGGCAAATGAGTCCTTTCGATTTTTCAGGATGAAATAAAACTCAATATATTAAAGACATAAAATTTATTTTAATCTACAATATATTGACCATTATTTATTATGAATTTTTTCCTTCTCTCCACTAACTGCATAATGCCATGTTCATAGAATATCTGGAGTTTATTGTTAAAAA